CCCTCGGTCGCAGGAGTCTGAGCCCCCAGCCCCCCGTCCCTCGGAGTCCAGCGCCCAGGCCCCCAGACCCTCCTCCCTCACGCGCCGCGCCGGAATCTGAACCCCCAGCCCCTCTTCCCTCAGACCCGGGAATCCAGGCCTCCAGCCCCTCCTCCTCTAGACCCAGGAGCCCAGGCCTGAGATTCCTTCGGGTCTGTTGCCAATGAAGTGTCTGCCGCGGGCAGATTCCCACCCTCTGCTCTCATCCCCACTTTCCCGGGAGCCCCGGCCAGACATTAACCAGCTGGGCCCGGGCAGTGATAAGGCCCCGGCCGGGGACCAGGATTCGGTGGATGTGGTGGGCTCTCCACATCGTCCTCTCTCCTGGAATTTCCTGGGGGGGACTGGGGAGAGGGTCTTCTCCGGAGCTCAGAGAAGAGGAATTCAAGGCTCTACAGGGCTGAGATAGAGAAAGGAGCATTAGGGAATGACCCGTAGAGAAAGAAAGTGAGTCAGAGAGGGGCGGGGGAGGGACACGCGCGGGAAGACCCACAGAGAGGACAGACACTCCTGTGGAAGAGGACAAAACCCCAGAAGGGGGACAGAGACCCCGAGAGCGACCCCCATAGACGCTCAGAGGGGACAGCCCGACTTGGGGGGGGCCCTTCACCCTAGCTCGCCTTCACCCTTCATCCCTCCCCCAGAGCTATTTTCAGGAGGCAAGATGACACCCGCCAGGGTGGGGGTCATCCCATACCCCTCCCTCCGCCTAAATATAGCAAGGTGGCAGGAAGGGTGTCCCCGATTGGGGTGTTCCCCTCTCCTGTTCCCCATCCCAGCCAAGACAACATAGAAGGCAGCAGGGCACTGGTGTGGGGGAGGGGCTTCTCCAACCTGAGCACCCCATCTGTCACCTCCCTGACCTCTGCACATCCCTCACCCCCAGCACCCAGCACACCCCCGCCCCTGCCAGGGGTGCTCTAAGTAACCTCGCTTCTAATGGGTTAGTGGGGTGACTTTTCACGGAGTAGCTGGAAACAGACTCTGTCCCCTCCCTCTGGGCGCTGTCTCCTTCCTCCACTCTGGGTCTGCCTCTGTCTCTCTGGGTTTCTGTGCCCCTTCTCTGTGTGTCTCCATTCTCCCCTCTCTGCCCCCTCTCCTCCCCTTGGGCTCTCTCTTTGCCTGGGCCAGGTAGCTGTCCTCTCTGCAAATGTGGGTTCCCCTTGGGCATGCACCCCTCCTCTGCTGGGCTCCCAGCCTTGCCCAGTGCCTCCCCTGGGAGGGGTGAGCCTCCAGACTCCCTTTCCTCTGCATGACAGGTAACCCCCTGCCAAAGGCCACATGACTTTGCCCTTGATCAAGACCTCCCACAAGCTGTACCTGCTTCCACCTCTCTGCATAAAGACGGTGACTGGGTTAATGCAGCCGTTTCCTAGCTGAATGTCTTAGCTGCTTGTTGAATCGCCAAGAGGGACCCCAAAGGAGCTATGTTCGCCTCCAACCAGGTCCCCTTGTCAGGCTGGTGCCTCTAGGGAAGATTTCATTTGACCAGAGAAAGGGGGAGGGGCCCTAGCTAAAAATAACAACGAGCACATCGCCATTCTGTAAACCACTGGCCGGGTTTAATACATTCATCCAGTAAAGAGCTCTGTGGAGGGGCGCGGGGAAGCCCTCGTGGGTGACCCCACCATTGTCCTCACGTGCCCTCGAGCACTGAGGGCATTTCTCTGCCAGTGAGAAAGGAGGCTGGGGTGTCCCCGCATCAGGGTAGGCGAGCGAGGACCTGGAGGTGGGGGCCTCGGGAGTCCTGTCCCTGGGCAGCCCGTGACCTTGGGAGGCCACACCCGGCTCCACATGCCCAGCTCTCCCTGGAAGAGGCAGTGCCCCCAGCTTGTCTGACAGCCTTCCTGCCGCCCATCCTCTGTGCCTCTCAGGCTCAGGGGGCTTTTGTTTTTTGTTTTCTTGGGGGGGCATTCTGGTCTGTGTCCATCTCTGGGTGTGTGCCCCTCTCTCTCTGGGTCTCGCCTTCATGAATCTCCTCTCTTTTTGGATCTCCCATCCCTCTTCTCTGCGACTGTACCCCCCAGTCCTCTGCCCCCTTCTGGGTATCTCTGCCCCCATCATGTCTGGGCATAGACAGTGTATTCCCTCTCCCAGTCCCTCCTTGCTCTGACCTCCATGCCCCAAAGGGAAACTGAAAGGCAGACAGAGAGGGGGTGGAAGGGAAAACGAAGCCAGTAGGGGCTTCCCCACCTTTCTAGTTCACCCCAAGACCTCTTCACATGAGCAACTGAATCTGCGGGCACAGATCCCAATGCCACCCCTTCTCATGAGTCTCCTGGAGTCTCCAATGCCATACATGGCACCCCGTTATGTGTCTCCTCCCCAGGGCCTTTATCCTCAGGTTCTGGAGCTGCCGCTGAACACAAGACAACAGTGGGGACCCTCAGCACACACAGTCTGACTCAAGCCAACATTCCGACGGGACTCACAGTGACACAACTCCATGTGACTCTTGTTAGTGTGGCCCCACGAGACTCTCTCGGTTCTCCAACTACAGTAGCCCCAAGAAGCTTCCAGACACATGACTCCACATGGTTCAACCCAACAGAAGCCTGAAAGGTCATGCGTTCCGACCCAACATGCCCTAATGGAATCTAGGAAGCTCTCATCCTATCGTTTGACCTTCGTCTGTCTACATGACTGGCAAGTTCACAGGACTTAAAATAACATGGCCCCAGAAGAGTCACAAAGCCACACAACTCCCAGCCTGCCTCAGCTCGCATCCACAATGCCATGCATGAGCGGGCAGGAGGTCCCGACAACCCACGGGCGCCCACCTCACTCAGCGTGGCCTTCTGGAACTCACGATCACAGCCCCCTGCACCAGGCAGTTGGACAAGATTCACTCAGACTCACCGCAACCCAGTCTAACATGGACTAGGGATCTCACAAGTCTACGGAGCAAGCCTCTCGCAGCATGACCCCAAGAGGCCCCACAAGCCTAGCAGTGGCGTGTCCTCCTCAACTCAGCACGGCCCACTGCCATTCATTGCCACCTAAGGAGGTGCCCCCAGGAGCTACCCAACCACACAACTCAAGACCCCAAAGACTCAGTGTTCCCCAACTCATTACCATTTAACCTAGTTCCTCCTAAACCCAGTCCCTTCCCCCCACCTTGCCTTCCCTCTTTCCCTCCCGCCAACAAAATGTGAGGTCTGGCCCACCCCTGCTGTCCCTCACACTTCGGTGACCATGTGTTTCCCCGGGGGGGCCCAGAGTGGGGGCGGAAGCTCAGGCACCTCGCCATCCACTAACCCCCCATTGACCTTGCCCTCCAGTGGGCCACAGGGCTGTGTGTCCACATGGCTGTACATCCCAGCCTCTTCACCCTCGGTCTCCCGGTGGTAAAAGTAGCTGAAGTTGGAGACGATGACTGGCACAGGCAAGGAAATGGTCAGCACGCCCGCAATGGCGCACAGGGAGCCCACTATCTTGCCACCCACGGTGACGGGCGCCATGTCCCCGTAGCCAACGGTGGTCATGGTGACCACGGCCCACCAGAAGGACTCGGGGATGCTGGTGAAGTGGGAGTCTGCCCGATCGACCTCGGCAAAGTAGACAGCGCTGGAGAAGAGGACCACGCCAATGAAGAGGAAGAAGATGAGGAGGCCCAGCTCACGCATGGAAGCCCGCAGCGTCTGACCCAAGATCTGCAGGCCCTTGGAGTGGCGGGACAGTTTGAAGATTCGGAAGACACGCACCAGCCGGATGACGCGCAGGATGGCCAGGGACATGGCCGGCTGGCCCACTCCCCGCTGCCGGGCCAGCTCGGTGCCCAGGGCCACAAAGTAAGGCATGATGGCCACGAAATCGATGATGTTCATCACGTTCTTGAAGAATGCCGCCTTGCTCGGGCAAGCTGCCAGGCGTACCAGCAGCTCGAAGGAGAACCAACAGATGCATAGCGTCTCTACCACAAAGAAGGGGTCGTCGAAGGGCATGCGAGGAGGGGGGCCAGGCACTGGGCTGGAGCCATTCAACCGAGCAGGGAACTGCAGGGAGGAAGGGGTTCAGAGAGGACCAGGCCAGGGCTGGGGCCCACTGGAGCAGCCGTATTTGTTGTTTCAGTGTCCAGTGACTTCTCTACCAATGCGTCAGTAGCTGCTGCCCCCAGGCCCTCAGTGACCTAGCTGTCCCGGACGCCTTCTCAGGGCCCCAGGGACCATTCCCTGAGAGCTGACTTTCTGGCCCCTGGTCCTCTGGAGAGGACGCCTCTTCCCTCCCAGTGTCCCCCCCCCCCACCATTGATCTAGATGCGGAGGGTCCAGGCTCTTGAGCCTCACCCTCCTCAACACAGCCTGACTTCCTGCCCCAAGGCTTGGCCTGCCCCAGCTCCAGGACACTCTCGCTGCCCTCAGCCTGCCTGGCTGTGTGACCCATCCCTCCTGCCGCAGCCTTCAGGGCCACCCTTGACCTCCAGCTCCCTCAGGCCTCAGGTTCTGGTTCTTCCATGGATGACTGTTAACGGCACTGAAACCCAGCTTTTTGGGGCCTCCATCTCCAAGAGCTGATTTCTTCATGTGTGTGTCCCCAAGTCCTCCTGCCCTCTGCTAGCGGGGTATCTCACCTACCTCACCCCTGCCATCTGATAGGGCAGGTCCTCTGCCTCAGACCCTCACGCCTCACCCCATTTGGCTACACCTTCCCGGCATCCCAGCTTTTTATGGTGGACTCCCCTCGCCAGGCCCTGCCCCAGGTTGCCCAGTCCTCACTGCCTCCGTGCCACCTGTGGTTCCCCAGGTCCTCCCTCCAGGTTCCTCATGCCCCGCCCACCTGCCCTGCCAGGCCCCGCCGTCCCTGATTGGACGGCTCCCCACAGACCCCGCCCAGCTCCTCCCAACCCCGCCCCCTCCAGCCCGGGCCCGCCCCCTCACCGGGCCAGCCGCAGCCACCGCGGCCAGCTCATGGTTGTCACGGTCGTCGCGGAAATCGGGCAGAGTCTCAAGGCAGAAGACGACGATGGAGACGAGGATGACGAGCACGGAGACGACGGCGAGCACGCGCGCGGCCTGCGAGCTCTCGGGGAACTCGAAGAGCAGCCAGAGCTGGCGCGCGAAGGCGCGGCGGGGCAGGGGCCGCTCGGGCGGCACGGGGCAGCCCTCGTCCTCGCGCAGGCGTGCCAGGGCGGCGGCGCCCAGCCCGTAGAAGGCCACCTCCTCCAGGAAGACGTCGAGCGGCACGTGCGCCGGCCGCCGCAGCCGCCCGCCGGACTGGTAGTAGTAGAGCACGGCGTCGAAGCTGGGTCGGTGCCGGTCAAAGAAATACTCGCGACGTGCGCCGTCGTAGAAGCGGCTGCGGCGCGCCGGGTCCCCGAGCAGCGTGTCCGGGAAGCGGCCCAGCGTGCGCGCCCGCGTCTCG